AGTGCATTTCTAGTTATTTTGCTGCAGATATTCCCTCATAATCATCAAGTGGTGACTGTATTGTGGCTTTCACCCATCCACTCTTGGTTTCTCAAAATGTTCATCTCTTTGGAAAGAAACATAATTGCCAGAAAGGAAATAGCAGTATGTAGGATGTCGGTGGACAAGAAAGGGCACAGAGAAAAGAGAGCAGATTATAAAAAGGTATAAGAGGGGAAAAGAATGACAAAAGAGAGAAAGGGAAGAGAGGACTTCTTTGCCCTTTGGTGTGAAGCGAGGGCCGATCGATAGCAGTGTAATGAGCCTGGTATTAGCTGGGTTGCAGAGGGACCGGAGCAGGGCAGAGGGAGGGCAGAGGGGGAAGGGGAGAGCCAGGATCTGATTCCCAACAGCAAACAACACCATTGCTGCAGACATCAGAACCAACACCTGAGTACACCTATTAAAGCCAGATGACCCTCTGCTCGGCTAATGATGAATCCACCCTCATACAAACTTCTCTCTCACAAACGCACACACACGCACTTTCATTCAACCTCCTGGCTGGTTTAGTACCTGTCACAGAGTTGTTCTATCTCTGCCAGGCTGCTACTAAAGCCAAACGCATTACCCAAAGAGGGCTAACAGAGAAAAACCAACCCTAATCCTGACTAAGAAAAGGGCCGTACTCAACATCACCTCTCCTTTTTGATACAGATTACCCAACAATGGCTTCTGCCACTCTCTTAAATCCACTACACACTGGCAATTTGATTAGAAACATGGAGATGCAGGGATTGGTCTTTGGTCGGTTGAAAGTGAGAGAAGGGGGACCAGCCGGGGGAAGTGGGGGATAACCATCAGGTACACTCAAAGCCAATCTGTTGCCTCGTCAATAGGCCCATTCTGCTGGAGTGCCATGCGCAAAGCTTCGGGCTCGCTAGCCCCCAGACTCAGCCGTCAGAGCAGCCATCCAGGCAGGCACAAGCCGGAGGGTGGGGGTGGGGGGGCCACGCCTGGGTCCTCTCAATGGAGGGATCAAAGCAGGGATAGAAGGATGGGCCCCCTCTCTTTGTGCCCTCGTGTCTCCCAAATCAAATGCATCCTCCTGTCCAATGGAAGCTGCACGGAGGTGGTCCGGCCAGAGGAACAGATGGTGCCACTGGGTGACACCTGCACTCTGCATAAGGAAGTGCCGTGTTCAACACAACAGCATGTCTGTTTTCTGGAAAACACTTGGGCTCACTTTTAATACAGTATATAATATATGATATGAACAGTATATCATATGCAGTGAAGAGATGAAAATTGTTGCTTGCTGTCCTAGTGTGGCTTTATGTCTGGTTTTAAAGGCAGCCAATCACCTCAGTTATGTGCTACTTGTCAAGTCTGGTGATATACTATATATTTTCAGAATGTCAACAAATACCATGAAAAGACCAAAACCAACAATGAATTGGGCAACAAGTATTCTTTATGTACCAGACGCCTGAACTAATGTATTCCTCTGCCATAGATCTTTAGGCTCTGTAGTTTTTGAGTCAATCCCACAAACGCAATCCCGCTGCCATGGATGTTCACTAAAGCAGCAATGTATTAGTCCATGGCTGAAAATAGTCCCCAACACATGCACTATTTATTCTTGTTTGAGCAATGTTTTCTAAAAATGACAGTGTCTTGCTGTTTGAGGACACAACTTGCCTTTTAATGACGAGGTTTTGAGATATTTGTGTGTAAGATTTCTAGAAGAGTTTTCATTGGAACTACTTTATACCAAAAATAAATAGTCCTCATGAAAAATACTGATTACTACTGTTGAGCCTCGTCCTCTACGAGCTTCCATTCAGCTCCAATATTGGTGGAGGGAGAAACAGATATCTCAAAAACTGGCCAAAGAAAATCCTCATGTTTTTCTGTTATTCTAATTAGGGTGAGCTAAACCTTTAAAAATATTTCTCTAGTACTGTAACTCTTGTTTTTTTCTTCTCTAATACTCTGAACCACCCTCATATTTTAGCTGCTACACTCATTTTAAAACAGAAAGTGATAAAATTGACTTGTTGCTAATTAGACATTTCTGTTTAGAGGAAAACAATCAAAATTGTTCATTTTGTATTATTAGCATTATTTCCTCATGCTGTGAAGAGTCACAGTCTCATTCCGTGCCAGTGAGTAGAGAGATTTTCACAAGCCCATCAGAAGCAGGGCTTCCAGTAGATATAACCCATGCTATGGTAATCACATGCTAATCACAGTTAACACCAGCGCAGGGTCCTATACTCTAGATTAATGCATCCGTCCCATATTCACGTTCCCATTAGCATAAATCAGGTTCACCCTGCCTTTGTAATTAGTGTTTTCATGTGAATGATAATAAGATATGGTGATTAGGTCAGGGTACTAGAATGGAAATGACTTGTCAGCTTAGTCTGCCTCAAACTGTTCCGCACATGTTGGACTATCAATATGTGCTTCGTCAAGAAACAATTAATGATATTGAAAGATAATTGAAGTTTGACAGTAGGATGTGGAAAGCAAAAGTAGACTGTTAATCAAATTTCTGCCAGACACTTGATGTTTCAGCGGGATTCTTATTGCAGAGTTAGGTTTCTGTCAAAGACATGTATGTGAAAGCACAACATATTCATCCCTCATAAAATGGTCCTAAAAGTGAATTTTTAAATTTCATTTTTAAAAAATCCTAAAATATGTCTTACATGGCCCTTCTGCAAGCTAATTTAATTTATAAATTACTGCATGCTTCATAATGTTAACAAAACTGAACTTTGTGAATTTGGACTATGTTTTTGAATGAAGCCAGCTATGAACTAAAAACCTGACTAACTTTACAAACTAGCTCACTGTCGTGGAAATTATATTCCTGGTCAGAGGTTAGGCAGATAATTGAGTTACAACAAACCGTTGTCTTTGAAGAATTTATTTAACAAAAGAGAATAAACAGAGAAGTACTACAACAAAATCTCCTAAGACAGTCACTAACGTCTGGCACAGAGCAAAGGGCTGCATGATCATTTACACAGTCTAAGCATCTATGTTTTGGGGAACAAAAGATCCTTGACTGGTCCCAGTCAAGGAAGGAGAAGAACAGCTAGTGAGGAAAACAATCAACAACCCCACATCCCTGACCTAAACCCCACACATTTGGACAGACTGGAATAACAAGAACAAGAATAAAGAGGGGAACAGGTTAAAGATTTAAAACAATATATAAGACATAATAAAAGGAGAAAAAAGCACTCTTATAAGTACTTGCATAAAAGATTATAAGTGTAAGAAGAAAACAATTTTCTGCCCTTACACTCACATTGCCTAAAAATACATCTAATATGTTTTTATCAAATTATCGTCATTATCAATGTCAGCACTGTCAGCAACCAATAGCTTCCAGAACCCATTTCTCCCTGTCATTTCTTCAGGCATTGTTTCATACACAGTCACAGACTTCAGACCATTTTTATAATGTAACATCAGAAAAGTTTTCTGAATGTCAACGGAATCATTAGCTTTTGTTTTGTTTTGTTTTCAGCATTTTCCTGCATGACCCTTCCTTTCACTTTTGTGTCTGATGCCTTACATAAAAGGACGGCCTGGATCACACTGCGTCTCTGTGGACACAGTTTTCCAGACTGTAGGACCAAATGTAGTGTTTGTTTTACTAGGAACAAAACATTGGTCTTCACCTCAATGAAGTGCATGAAAACTCAAAGGGACCTGCTCTGCCATAGCCTGTATCAATATCCTAGTTTACCTCTGTTCTAGAATCAACATACAATAAAAACCTTGCTGCCCTGTCTGCAGTCAACTTTACAACTTTTTTGATAAAAAGGCAGAGTGGAAGAAAAGAGAGCATGTTTGAGCATATGAGTGTGCTTGGTAACACAGGGTCACAACACTCAGCTTGCACATGAATCTAAGTGAAAGAGAAAACACAGTATGTGAGTATACATGCAGGTGCGGTGTGCACTTCAATGAAACACAATACATAAGCAGGACATGCAGCACTGATTTGCCGGAGGTGGGGTCAGTCTTTGTGGGTTGGAACACCCCTTTCACCCCTGACATGGAACATTCCTCTCAGACTAGTGACCTCACATGACGGACGGCATCCTTCATGCCTATAACCAACTGATGAGACCTGCTGCAGCCCTACAGACTGAAAGGCAGAGGTTAGAATCGGGAATGTGAAAAAACAAAAGGGGGGGTGGGGCCTGCAAGAAAAACTACAATCATCAGAAGGTTTATGATGAATTGTTACTGCAGCAGACTGGGACCAAATGAGTTTTCATCAAATCCTAAAGGGTCAAAAGGCAAATCACATCCTTTTACGCCAAGATCTTGCATAAGGGTTATTGAATGTATGTGTATTGCATGAGTGATTCCTCATTCAACCTGACACCCCTGTTTCCATGGTAATTTATGAGGCCTGACCTGTGAATCTAAACGCCTAGCTCCAACCTCCAAAACCATCTTGTTCGTGGGTATCGTAACCCCTTTTTGAACTGTTTGGTAGCCATCATAGCTTTTTCAAAAAGCAACAAAGTCTGAAATGTGAAAACCGATAGCATAACAAAACTTTTGGTTTACCTCTCATTTTTCAGTTTAGGGTTACAGGTGGGATAAAGCTAGGTCCTTTTCTGTTTTGTTTTTTTTTCTTCTAAATTCTAGAAAAATTGTGCAATGGCCAGAAAGTTTAAAGGCAGGAACCATATCTAAATTCGACATTTCTTCCAGACATGGGTATTTACTGTATGTCTAAACATGTAATAGGGCTGTATACCCTTTTTTTTTTTTACCTCCAGGCACATTTGTGTGAAGACTCTCCATCACACTGTAGCTCTTGTGAGGGCAGAGGAATAGCTGAATGAGAGATTCTCAAACAGGGGCAGTCATTTGCAGAGTGTGTTTCTAAGTTATTCCAGCTCCCCTCAGCTCAGCAGTGGCTGACCCCTCTCCCCGTCTGTCTGCTAAGAGGCCTACAGGGAGGAATCAGCCCAAATTACCTTTATTGATCCAGAGAGACAGGTGAATACCAAGCAGGTCTCTCTTCCCTTCACTCTCCTTATCTCTCTTCCACCCGCTTCATCACTCCATCCCCCTCCCTGCCTGCAAGAAGAGAGAATATAAAAAAAGAAACAGGGAGCTTTTATGTGAGAAGGACTCTTCCACCGCCACACATTACAGTATCAACCATCGCAGTGATTTACTGTTCGCATTCAGGTTGTTGTGATTAAACTTGCCTTCTCGTTGCTCATCTTTCACCAGCGACCAGGAATGGCGAGCGGCTGTTTTTCTGCCTCCAATCCACCGTTGTCCTTTCGCCCCAGCATACAAATCACTGTGGCGGTGGAAAAGATACTCCATTAGGTCCAACTCTGAGTTAAATCAATGCGTGACTTATCAAATGAAATAGGGGATTATGAGGTAATCACCTGGCAAACGTTGCTGAAATTGTAATTATCTCCACTGCACACATCTCAGAGAGAGGGGACGAAACTAACTATTTAAGTGGTGGGTGCGATAACAAGGTGCAGAAAAGCACAACAGCTATATTTCTTGTAACAGCGGCGTGAGTTAGAATGTTTATGTGCTGACAGGAACCAGAGCAACTTTGTGGTTTCTCTCGCTCAGAAGAGAAATTAAGGAGTTTCATGCGACTGACCGTTTTATGCTTCATGTCCTCTGGCTCACTACTGCAAAACTGCTGCTTCGTCTTGTTGTTGCACTGCTGTTTTGTACATTACATTCTCAGGGTGCGTGAATGATGTAGCCTACAGTGTTATGAAAGAATTTGTAGGCCACTTACTTTTACAAAATATGTGAATGACATTATGAGAAAGAAGAAAAACTATTTGCATTAAAAAAAAATTTTAACATAAATAAGTAATATAATAAAATGCAAAATCATTATAAAGTACATGAATATAGAATAACTATATAAATATGTTCTGTTTTAAAAGATATAGAGTTTTGATACATTTTTACTTTAAAGTACTACATAAGTACTTTGAAAGGCAGTTAAACCCTGTAGGTACAGCCAGAAATTTTATCTGAGCAGCACAATATACATCAATCCAGTATTTCTCACTGACAGAATCAAACCCTAATAAGGGATCAATTTGTGTTTAAATACAATTAAATTTATTTGAATTAACTTCTCTATAAATATCGTTTCTACTGCACTACAGAGCAATGGACAATATTGTAAAGCATTTTGAAGCACAACAATTTGCCTCTGATCAACGTGGTTTACTGTAATTTAACATGCATTTTGAAACAAAAACATTTGTGTAAGCTAATATTCTGCATCTGTATTTATTTTCATTGAAAAAGTCAAATGCTGAACCTCCCAAAATCCTCTGATATTTAATATATGTAGAGTTTGAATTGTCTACTTACTGTACAAGTGCAACACAGCCCCCTGGTGGAAGCACAACACAGTTACATCACTGGATTTCCCAGCTGACATAAATTTTGGCTATCTTGCCCCATCTGTCAAAGTGTCAAATGCACTCACTGTGCTGTGTAGCTCCAAATAACTCTCAGCTAATCCATCAAAGGGAACACCTGAAGTGGCTACTGGCCCTGTCAGGATATGCCAGTTGAATGTTGAAATTGCATAACTGAATGGTGACAATTAGGTGCACACACCCCACCAAACAGGCTGGTTTTTCTACAGCGACCTGGCTTCCCAGGTACATTATGGCAATATATTTAATATACTATGCCACAGATACTTTGACTGGCACTGAAATGTCAATCTCTTAAAAACCATCCTTAACATCCATAGCAAACACCATTAAAGTTAAACATGGAGAAAAGCAGTACTTACTCATTACCAGCAGTTACATGCTGTATCAACACCAAAGAAAAAAAGGGATATGATTGTCCTATTTCTCTGCTCCACACATAGCACTTCCTGTCTCCAACCAACACAAACTTGTACATTAAGAAAAGCACAGTGCCCCCTTTTGGCTTGCAGCTGAACTAAGCTACCTTTGAAAACATAACAAGGTGTCTAACCAGCTATAAATAAACTATCCTCAAAAACAAAAAACTGGTCTAACTTGGTGCAACTCTGACAACAGTCCCTGTGTTCCCAGCACAAGCAGAGGTGTGACTGTGGGAAGGCGGCACATTCGGCTGAGTCACACTTCGTCACCTCATTTGGTGTCTGTGATCACACCACAAGCTCAGCCAAAGTTCATAGGGGCATCAGTCGGCAGTCACACTCTCTAAATAAACTTTCATCCAAAATTACAAATCACAAAAAGTAACATCTCTAGTGACAAAATGATTGTATAATAATGAATACTCAATTTGGAGTAGTACCAAGCTTAGAAAGTAACATTTAAAGGATGTTATTATGATCCAGGAAGGTAGATTGAAAGTAAACAGACTGCACTTGGGAAAAAATGTATATCCATGTCTTTGTATTTATATTAAAAACTGGCTATTACTTAATATTACAGGCTTGTGTGAGACTATTTAGAGGCAAAGAGATGGTGCATGGCACGTGACCACAGAGGTCAAGCACGGGACTGAACATCATTCAGCCCCTTATGGGTGTTTATTCCTCGCGCCCAAATTCGTACCAGCTCCTGGGAAAGGGTGGCATGGGTCTGAAAAGTTGAAACTGTGAAAAGTTTACAAAGTTATGTTGGGATAGGACGGCAAGTTTATTTTAAAATGTTGCATGTTTGCAAATTTTATTGCATGTACCATGTGTATTTCACTATCAACACTTCACACTCATTCACTAACGCATACTGTGCCTGAAACTGTACATTTGTGTAATTTTCAATGATCTCCCAGTGCATCTGTTACTTCCTCTTAACACAAACTTATGTATGTATATGTAGATAAACCAACAAGGAAATATCTTCTACAGTTGACCTAAAGTTTGTGCTGAGAGGGTTATAAGTTCATCAGACAGGGCATCAGTCAAATTTCACACCCAAGTAAGTGATGCCAGTTCTGACACCCAACCATGGGAAAATCTTGACCAGGCCAGGGTTGAAGATGATTTATCACTTCATCTTAAGTCCTAATATCTAGTCTGCATATGCCTTTAATATTATTTTGATGCTCAGTAGTCACACTTTTGATCACTTGCTCTGGAAAGCAGCAAACAAAACAACCTTTTTTGTTGCTTTACACCTCTACAGTCGGCTAAATGTATTAGCTAACTGAAGTCTTTGTGTCAATGTGAGTGTTAAAAATAAAAAGTGAACGAACAATCGATTTGCTTATAAAGGTCTTGCTTTCAGTTAGGATGCAGTCTTCCCAGTGGAGGTCACTTGCTCGGTGGCAGCGCAGCACCCCTGGTGCAGTCACAGGCCACCGTGTTCCACATCAATAAGGTGTGTGAACTTTGCACCCTGAGAAACACCTAAAGATGATACCAAGGGTTCCCACGGAAAGGCTCGGAAGGTTGAAGAGTTCAAGTCACTGCGTCAGAAAGGCAAATTGTGTATGTTTAGATGAATAATTTGCAAGAAACAGAAGCCTGCACAGTATGATAGTATGCCGTTACTGGGCGAAAACTGTATATTAGCTGACAAGTCTTGGTATGCAGTTTAATAGATGAAGGCAGTTTTTGAAGTTCTATCAGCCGTGCACATCATATTCAAACAACATGCCTCCTCTGCAGTTAACAGAACCTTTGGAATAAGGCAATCAGCTGCTACCAGAAACCTTAAACAGGTCATAGATTTTTGTGTGTGTGGTTTAAAATACATCTGTATTCAAGAATCTACTACATCTACCAGCAAACTCTGATCTCAAGATCTGCTGCTACTGTTTAATTAGAAAATAATAAAACTACTTCACTTTTGCATGCAAATAATTTGATAAAGTCAATTTATTATTGCATTAAAGTATTGTAAATATAATGATAGCCTAATTAAAGTAAAGCGGAATAACAGGCTAGTAATTCAGCCCTAGCCCCAGGTTTACTTAGTGTCATTTGGTTTGTAGCAATTTAATTTACTGCAAATGTGTTCTCCAATTTGTTTAAATATACATAACTACAGCACAGTATCAACTAAAATATGAAGTCCTGCAACATCATCGCATGTTGGGGATCTGTCTTGTAGACAGGCTCTCAATCAGTTTTAAGAACATATAACATGTTTTAGATGATTTTGTCCTACACCATACATTTTCCACATACATTACCAAACACTATTGAACACACATGTAGTGCCGGTGGTTGACTGGATCTCTGGATGAGATGACGTGTGTAGTCTGCTGTGTGCACTGAATTTGTATTTGAAGGTAATTGTGTACATGGGCACAGCAAGCAGGAGGTACAAAGGGCAATATCTTTGGAATCCATAACGTGTTGATTCAGCCCTGATACTGCTGTGTTTTTGTTTTTAAATTGTAGTAAGTTTGTTTTTGTTGTATGGTTATGCGAAAGTGTGTCAAACATTTTAACTGAAATATACATTCAGTCAATATTTCATGTGTTATTATTGAACCATTCATCCATTTATTTATTTATGCCCTATCCTGTGAGTGGAAAAACAACACTTTTTATAATATGGCTTAAATCTTGTGTGAAGTAAAATAATTAAAGAAAACCTCTCAACTAGCTACACAAAATAATCTTTTTTTTTTTTGTCCAAACTGCTAGTTTCATTGGAGGCCTACACACGTCCCCCCCTTTGACTATCTCAGCGCAGATCTTTATGCTCTTTGGACAGGGCTGACACCTTCCACCTGTCACGCAGTTTCCGCACTTCAGGCGTCACTGCGCAGGAAATGGCGCGTTTACCACTTTGCACACTTATCCATGGGAAAAGAGCTGTTCAGCCACAAGCAGGCAGATGTGTCCGGCTGTTTAATTTAGTTTAGCCTAAACCTTAATCTGCTACAACTTCTAATGTGTAACGTAACTAAATCCATAGGTGTATGATAGTGCCGAGAAATATTAGATTGTTTTAATTAATAGATTAAACAGATTAAAAACACTGTTTTACGTTATGCACATACTTCAAGTAAAGGGCGGCGGTGGTGCAGTGGTTAGCACTGTCGCCTCACAGCAAGAAGTTTGTCCTTAGGTGTGGATGTGAGTGTGAGTAGTTGTTTGTCTATGTGTGGCCCTGCGCTGGAGTGGCGACCTGTCGCCCAATGTCAGCTGGGATTGGCTCCAGCCCCCCGCGACCCTGTATGCAGTATAAGCGGTTGACGAATGATGGATGGACATACCTCAACTAAACCTGATGTCTCTGTTCACAGACTTTCATTAGTAATTTTCCCCTAGGAGAAGAGTAATTCCCTTACCTCACCAAATTAAACAATCCTGATTCAAATAGATAATTCATATAATAAAAGCCCCAGACAATGACGTTCATTTAATGCATTTTATTGCAATTCTCGACAAATTACAAAAGAGGTAGAAACGTTAAAGGAATAATTTAAGCATTTACATTCTTGTTTGGTATAGAAATGCAAAAGGGTCTATTTACATATATTTACAGCAATAAGTTAAGATAAATATGGTATCACAGGATGCAGTCATTCTTCATAGGCTTCAGGGAGCCACATTTAGTTCAGCTCCTTTTCCATCTCCTCCTCTTCGTCTTCGCTGTCTTCATCGCTGCTGGAGTCTTCATAAAAGCAGATGGTCGCTTGGACCGGATAGTTGCGCAGGAGCATTTCTGCATCCTGGTACAGATAATCGAAACATCTGGATTTTGGCCAGTACAACCTTTAAGAAAAGAACAAATATGATTAGACATGTTTCCAAAAAAAATACCTACATAAGAATAATAGATTATATAATTGAAAAAACTCTACTTACTTCACTGGGTGAATGACCTGATGAATTTTGGGGGGCTTTGCGGCAGAAAGGTCTCCGTGAATGGAATGAGCCTGAAAGTTAAAACAAAGCGACATCGTTAGGCTTGTTATCCATTAAACAATGCAGGTTTAAATCCAAAAACGTTCAAGTCGTCTAAACTCACCTTATGTGCGCCGGTTTTGTTCTCTATTCCAGTCCACGGTCTCCACAAACAGCCGGGTGAGTGCTGAGTAACGTTGTCTCCAGTAAAAACAGAAGTTAATCCATTGTTGTTAGTGGAAGTCTCCATGGTTCCTTGTAGTGGTCAGTCCTGCGTAAAGTCCTCAGAGGATGTGAGACTAAAGGCAGGAACTTCCTATTTATCAGGGCCCTGGCAGCCGGTGCCAAATTGCGCTTTCACGCGTCCCCAAGTGTCTCCATGCGCCACGGTGCAGAGGTGAGAAGTCACACTTCTGCAAACTCCAACCATATGGTCACTTTCTTTGGTACTTTTGAATGTAGAATAAAAGGAAGGAGAGATTTAAAACTTATTCCCTAGATGGTCTGCATTATTTGATCAGATGTAAACGATATTTAGGGGTACCTCTGCATCCACTATAGACCGTGTTTGGGGTTTGAACAGAAATGCAGAAGTATCATGTTAGTCTATCAGTATCTCAGTATATCAGTATATTAACATAATGTGTTTCAATTCAAAGTTTGGTAATGTTACCCTCTTGTTGAACGGTACAACCCCTTAACCTTTCAGTATCTCCGTCTGTGTAACCATTTGTGTGCGGAAGGTGTGAAGAAACACGTGCCCTATTGTCATTGCCTGCTGATGAGGTGATGGAATAAGGCTCGTATGCAGTGTATGTGTGTGTATGTGTGTGTGTGGATGGAGGGAGGGAGGGGGGTTGACACGCGTCAGCCTTTTGTGTACACAACAGCAGCAGTGGGGTTTACAGCAACACTTCAGCATATGCATAGCTTTAAGGCATCACACTCCCATATGGTAAACCTAATGGTATTAGGTTGTGCGACCTCTATAGGAGCTGCACGTGTCTGACCTTTTATGACTAAGACCCTCTGTAATCAATCGAATTAATTAATCCCATTCTTTCTTATAATTGAAGTGTTTCCTCCCAGTGCACCAGTAACCAGTAGGGGGCAGTGTGGGGCTGCATGCTTGGATTAAATTATAAAGGCAATAGTGTAATATTTCACACACATATCTGCCCAACACTGCAATGCAAGTAGCTGCCTGAGAATGCAGTGTGTGTGTGTGTGTGTGTGCGTGCGTGTGCGTGTGCGTGTGTGTGTGTGTGTGTTTTAATCTGACTTCTTTCCGAGTTAATGGGTGCCACACTAGACTAGATTTAGTAACAGAAAATGTTGTAGGTCTGCAGTGAGGGTGTCTGTGTTTGAAAGTGAACTGTGCATGACCAGCATTACATGTCTTCTCTCACTAGCTGCAGCCAGATAACAGGGAACAGGCAGTCAGAGCCTGCCACTAATAATGCCCACATAGACCTCTCTCTCTCTCTCTCTCTCTCTCTCTCTTGCTCTCTGTCTCTCTCCCTCTCTCTAGCTCTCTCTCTCTTTCTCTCTTTTTCTGCTCTGGAACTAATTGGACACTCCATGCTCTGCTGATGGCTTCTTTTGTGTTTTTGTGTCATTAACTCTTTTTCTTTGTACTATAATGACAAAAATATATGGACACATTATACACTCATGCTGATCAAACACATATGCATAACTTTCCTTGTCATGTTCACAAAACGGGCCAATTAAAGGAAGATTTTTTTTACCTTACAATATGGTAAATCTAGGTCAGCATATTAAGAGTGTTTCATCTTTTCATCTTTATTCTTCAACACTGGTCATCAAAAATATACACCTTGTATGTTATTGAATATATTCTTAAAAGAACACATGGTGATTTTGACAGGGCAGCAAAGTATGTAAAAAGAAAAAAAAAATACAAAAGAAGCAGAAAGAGGAAATGTGAGGACTCAGTCAGCTTTGAATGAAGTAAAATTGAAGTTCCCTGGCAATGACCCCAGAAAATACGGTTCACTACCACATGCACGTGCAAGAATGGAAAAAATATTCAGGACATATAGAGAGTGCACTCCAAAAAAAGAAGTAATCTCAGCACTTTTAAACATTTCTCCCATCAAATGTAAATCAGTAACAATGGATGGGATGGAGATAAAGAGCACCAAAAAGGAAGCCACAGCTCAAAACCAGGGAGATGTCTTTAATATTTCAGGTATTCAAGGTTTTATTTCTAATGAACTTAACCTAGAGACTGAACTTGCCTGCCTGAAAAGTTCGCCACGTTTCTTTTTTTTACCAAGAATCATTTCCTGATACAACCTCTATCACTACTACTAGTCATTTTCTTTCTATCCGGCTTATTATTGATAATCCCTCTTTATTGCCTAAGTCCTTACACTTCTCTCTTACAAAGACCCTTGGCTCCAAAATGTTCCTCTCCATGGCAACAGTCAACCACAAATAATCTAATTTTCGAGTAGGTCATTCAGTAAAGCTTTATCTTTTCATTTTTGCTTATTAAACCATCACTGTAAATTAAAATGTGTTCCCAAAATGAACATGAATTAATTCTTTAGCCGTCAGCCAAAAATTAAGTTTACCATACAGCCATATATAAAACATGTTCAATGACAGCTTTGTGCTTCCCACGGTCCTGCTTCCGGTGTGTGCAAAGCCATTAGTTTTGTGCTGGGCTCCTGTTTTTTTGTGTGTTTTAGTTGAGGATCTCACACTAGTTTTGTACTCTGTGATACTGAATGGAAAATATGTGTCATGCAGCAGTGGTAGCAGTATATTTAGGGTTTGCTTTTCGTAACATTTTCCTTGGACTTGGCAGTTGATTGGTCCACGCTGAGCTACTGATAAAAAACATACAGTCTTCCTAATAAGATACCTGTTGTTTTCCTGGAAATGAGAAGGTATCTATCTACAAGGTTAATTTAAAAGAAAATTTTCCATTGGTCCACCCTTTAATGAAGGAAGAACATGTTGAACATAATACCTCTCTACGTGATAAGGCTTCAAACATCTTGATAGTGTTCTAGGGAACGTGTACTGATTGAGAGGTGCAGTAATTGGGTGGAGATGTTTGTGCTCCTCTCCTCCCTGCATTCACACTCCAACAGTTTTTTCTAAACATGCAGCAGTTGGGGAATCACGCAGTTTCCCCTAGTTCCAATTGGAGATCCCTTTTTTTTTTTTTACTGAGACCTATATTGTGTGTTATTTAACAGAATTTTAACAGAAGGATTTAGTAAAAGAATGAGGAAGCACTTTAACAGTCATACACATCTGAAAAGAAGTAGGAATTTTCAGTTCCTTACCGAACCTTAAATCAATATTAAGTCTACTGTTTTCCACTTGAAGAAAAACAGCTCGTCTGCTCTAGACTGGAACGACCCCAGGATGCCTTGATTTTATCGGCTCTGTCTGAAGGTCAAACACAGACAAATACAAATCAGAGGATCGTTATCATTATTATTTTAAAGTGCCTTGAATCTCCGTGTGTCATTATCAAGCTCTACCTATTGGTCCACAAATGCAGGGAAGAGGGCACAAGTGATTTTAACAAGGGGGCTGTAAAAGTGGAGGTTCCCTTTTAAACTACTTATTGAGATATTGCGTGGGATTAGTACTTGCGTTCCTGTTAGGGCCCAGGCCCTATTTTTTTTAATTGTGTGTCTAGTGTTTTACTGGGTTTTGTGTCGTGTGAGAGACAAAGCAACCCTTTTGTAGTTGCTTTTTGTGTTCAGTCCGTTAGATCTTGTCATGTGCCCTAGAAGGTTAGCTGTAGGCACCTGTGTACATTTTGAGAATACCTTAAATCGCATTGAGGTTGTAGGTGTGGGCAGCCATTTTTGTTTGCACAGATTTCTCCTGCATTGCTTTAATAAAGTACATCTTTTAAACTGATGATACACGCGGCAAGTTTTTGAGCAATGTTGCCAGGCAATCTTGCTGGTGGCAAGTCCGACTATGTTTTGAAAGGATAGCGGAGGGGCGGGGCGGGTGGCGGAGTGGTGGGGGAAGGGGATTATGGTAGTAATCTTTACTCATTACCATTGACAGCAACATTGCCCATTGCATTGTATCATCAGGTTTATCCAAGGGAGTTAGGTTTAGTGAAAATTTATTTTTCTTTTGTTTGTTACACCTTAGGATAGTCAGCTCTTTTTGTGGAGATTCTTTTGTTGGTTGTTCGGCCTTGGTTAAACCTGCATTATATGGCTTCAGTTTGTTGAAACAATTTCACCTTTTGTTGTAATAAATAGTTTCACTTTAATTGCAATTCAGTGTTAAGACTTTAATTAGACCGGGGAGGGAACAACCTTTTAACTTTTATGTGATGTGACATGATTTGGCTGTGCCACCTTTTCAGTTACCTGTGTGTCCTATGTTTTCCCTTGCCCAGTGTTTTTATCTGTCTCCTGTCAGTCTCCTGTTTGTGTCTGTTTGTGTCTGGGCACCGCACTGCACTCTCCAATCTGGGCCAATCACCAAACCACCTGTTTCTTCTCGACTCCCTAGACCCATCCCACAATCAACCCCTGTAGTTTTGCTTTTCACTTCAGTTTTCACGAGATCATCTGTTCACATCCTGTCGCTACAGCCTCATTGAAAAGCGAAGCTGTGATTCTTGTGATTGGAGATTATCCTGACACGCTGTCTTTCTTGCGCCTCAGGATTTTTGGTCCCAGAGTTTTGGAGAGCTCTGTTTATCTGTCTCATTTGGTTTTGCCCTGTCTCCACCTGCCTGTCCAGCTCACACTGTCTGCCTGCCTGCTCGCTGAGATTCACCAACTGAATTCACCTTCCACATTCATTGTTGTTACATCAAGAATTTATCTTTGATTCTCCTTTTACAACTGCCTCCGTGTCTACATCTGAGTCCTCTCAGCCTCAAACCTTAACAGCTATCCTCCGTCCGCCCCAGACTGGAGCATAACAATTCTGAAGAGGACATTTCTTGTTTGAATTATCCTTCCTGAATACCAAATGATCAATGACCACCAAGGCACAGGGCTTAATAATAATCAAGCTGTAGATAAGGTAGTGCATCGCTCATCCATCAGTGTCCAGTGGCAGTTTAATCAAACCTTTTTGGTATTCAAATCCTCAACTCCAAGGAGCTGCAATTCAATAATCTTATCATTTAAGATTGACCTTTTATAGATGCAAAGTTTTGTGATTTGTATTGTGTCAGGTCATGATGGACTGAGCATCACAGTGCATATTTGTGTGTTTATATGAGTTATGTTCTGAGAATGGCTATGTAGAAGGTCAGACTGATCCAGATCCAGGTTTAATTGAAGTTCCCTTGGAAACCATCTGATGGGGTAAAGTACAGTGTACTGTCAGTAGAAGCATTCAGCGTTCTGAGAAAAATATGAGGAAAACAGAAACAAATTGCTAAATTAA